GTCTAATTGAGCCACCTTATGCCAGTGCGCGGTAATCGGTAAGGTGTCGCGGCGACCGCAGAATCGTGCCTGCCGACCAGAAACGAAGCGCTCGGAATCTGTGTCGGCGACATGAGAGGACGCTTAAATGGAACTTGGCTCAAGTTTTCGACCGATACCGCCGATCCGGCACTGGATATCGCCAAGTTCATCCGGGGTTTCATTCGCGTCGCCGCACGTCCACATGCCGAACATTTCCCGCGGGGATCAACGCGGAGAGCTCTTAATCCGCCACTGAGATAATGCTGGCATTGTAAGCGAACAAAACTCGCATCGTCCACCTCGCCCACCCAAAACACATCTCGCACGAAATGATCCGTCTTTGCGAGCGCCAATGTTCCTTCATTGTATAAACTGTATAGATTGTCGAATCAATAGTCCGCTAAGGTCCGACTTAAAGTATTAGTCTTTAATCTTTTACACAATTTGTTTACGTAATATTGCAGTTATCGAATATAGATATTTATATAATTACTAGAATTTTTGTTAGAGCTCTCTTTATTTTTTTCTCTTTAATTGCTGCAAACTTGATTACACAATCCATAGATTGTAGGAAAAAAATTACAAGACACATTACACGGAGAACAGCGATATTGAAAATACATTAGCTGCTGCTCTTTTCTATTTACTCCATTTACTCTTCTTTATAATGAACCGTAATTAATAAGAGTTAATTATACCCCGCTATCGGCGAAGAGTAATTAAAGTACGCTAATTAAATATTTTCCGGATACGGCCGCAATTAGACCTGGAACGACGCTTTGTCATCCGAGAAAGTAGTTCCAACTTCTTCTTCCGCATCGGCGACTATCAGTTTCTATAGGAGAAACTTGAATTTAATTACTCGGGCATAGTGGTCAAGCGCAGCGTACGAATTGTCGACTGAATTTCGCGAGCATGGAAATTGCTCGGCCTGTCAGCGGTCGAACGAGAATGGCTATCGTAAAATGCGTCTGTCAGAATCCTCTCGCGAATCAGTGGGTCATCATATTCGCGTTGAAAGCCCAATCAGAGAGAGAAAGAGATAGATAGAAAGTGTAAAGAGCACTTTGCTCGTTATCAGAAAATCTTTCAATTTTATTCGATATCCACAGTCAACAAAGTCTACGTTTTTCACGAAGTAGAGCTTACGAAAAAAAAAGCAACACATTTCTTTCTTTTTTTCTGTCGAATTCTCACTTAGAGAACAGGCTAAAATTTTGCCGGTATGGATTTCTCTGCTCCATCTCGCCGTAGGCTCTATATGAAGAGAAAGGGGGAGAACGGTAGGACGGGACCTTCGAGAGCAACTTGATTCAAAGTAATTTAGCGGCCAGGCCCGAAGTTGCTGACTAGTAGGACTTGAAAGTTTCCGGCATTAACAAGACCGAAGGACGACGCCTCGGCTTTCAGTCGGCGGAAGGTGACATTAATCTATCTCGGGCAGCCGATGATGAATTTGCTCGAATCGAAGGAAGTATGTTTCCACCAAAGATAAACTCGCGCGGGTTTACTGTCGTAAATACGTTTCTCGGTTACCCCTCGAAAATAACTACTTAACTTTATTCTCACCTTGAACACATCTTCCATAGAGTCTGGCGTTCGTAAATTATTCGAATTGCTCTAATACTTTAATAATATTAGAAGATCTCGTGCAATGTGATTGATGTTTCAAGAATTCTGAAGTCAATAATACGAACTTCTAATTAAAAATTTAGATTTGTCTTTTTTAGATTCTATCTTTCTCGCTTTTGTGGCTAAAAAAATATAAATATAAATATAAATATAAATTTAATGTTAAAAATATAAATTTTTAATGTTTTAAATTCAAAGAACTGCTTAATTATTTTAATAAAATTTATTTAATTATATTCAACGTAAGAAAATACTTATCTCGCGAACAAAATGTAGGAATATCACGCGAATGTCGCGAAAAATGCAGTGAAATAGAAAGGAAGAAAATGCTGATAGGAAAGATGATAATCGATATGATTGAAGCCCGCAGGACCGATTTCTGCGAGCTTCTGAGCTCGACAAATTGCTCTATTCTTATCAGGGCACAATCGAGGCTACGATATATGACTCTATCTTGAACTACGGGTTATTTCGATATTTTTCTCTCATGGCTTGCATTCAACAAAAGAAAGAAACTGAGAGCAAAAATTTTCATACTCGAAACGCATGTAGGATTTCTATTATTATTCTCATTCTTTCTCATAATACTTTCATCGATCTAAGCTGTTATTATTTTCTCTGTTTGCGAAAAACAAAAATGTAACAACGGTGCGAAAGAGATTATTATTATTAATAACACACCGCTATTATTATTACGGCGACGTGAAATATTGTGCCGTCACATTAATATTTTCTTTGTCATATTTTTTTGATATTCTTTGTATTTTCTTCTTTTATCGTGAAATATTTCTGAAAGCGGGAAGTGAATTGAATCACATCCTTCGACCGTGCTCCACCATTACGAGAAAGTAGCAGGTGTCTGCGAATGGATCTCACCCCCCGATTCGAGGATTAACTATCCAGGAAGTAGTCGCGAATGCCCTTGAGCGACGTAAAACCGTGTCAGAAATATACCCGTATCGCTGTCCGACTGAAATAAAATTATGTAAGTCCGATCGAAAGATGAGAAAAGGTCCACGGGAGGAAAATCGCCGGTCAAAATGTACGTCGTCAATACTCGTCTCCCTTCTTTCGTCGCTATTCCCGTCTGTTCTCGCGTCTCTTCGATAAAACGGTCCATGTGACAAATCGACTTGGATAAATGATGAACCCGAAAGCATACGTGGATGTTCGCGAAACTGTGTCAGTGGTTCCATTGTCATGAGCCGCTATTACCGGGTCGAGCGTCCTTAAAACGTTCGTAAAACGCGATGTCGTAGCCGTCGTCTCCGCCGTTGTCGACGATGCCGCGTCGACGTAGTGCGCCGTTATTGACGAGGCGCTGTGACCCGTATTCGGTAACTGCGCGCTCGTCTACCTCCTCTGGCGTTTCCTCTCCGTAACTCTCGTCCCGCTTCGTCATCATCATCCATCGTCATTCTTGGCATCGTCATTCATGACCGACAGCGATTTATCATTATCTTAACTTTATATCTGATACCATGAAACTTAATTGAGCGATTCGAGAGTCTAATGAGAAGCGGATGCGCACGAACGAGCGAATCGCGTTTCACGAACACATGTTCGCCGCAATTGCGGTTTGACCTAGCTCTCGTGGTTAGATGCTGACAAAATTCGTAAAGGACACGGTGATAGATAGTTAAGGAACGATCAAGGATAAACGGCAGAAGAAATAGAGATTCAAGAGAATTGGAACATTTCTGTGAGTAGAAAAAGCAGCGGTTGTTTCCGAGGCGGTTGTTTGTCAGATGAAAACTGAAGTTTCCTAAAGTTAACATGACATGAGTTTGTATCCAGCATAAATATTATCGTATCACGTCGCGGCTTTCTGCCAAATATTTTGTCATCTTAAACATTAATGAGAATTTACAAAAGTGTTTAATAAGAATCGAGATGGAAATTAATATTTGAAACATGAAACATTTGAATAATGAATATTTATATATAATAGAGAATATTAAAATAGTACAAAATAGAATATTTTATGAACAGAGTATTTCGTAGCGCGTTAAACATATGAGTCATCTCGTAACACTTGTTTTTGCGTGATGTTGTGAGCGCGCGGTCACCTTGTGTTGTTTCGCGCGGCGACACATTCGGCGGGCAGCAGTCGCTCCGTACGTATCAACGTCGAACCACGATCGCGACAAGTACCCGACAAACGCGATCAGTCGACCACGAATAATTAAGCTCTACGATTAATTAGCATCTTAATTGATTAAATCGCTTATCGTAATGTAAGCGTAAATATCGACGCGACGTCTATTTATCGAAACAGGTATTTCATACGGTTCATTTATTTAAAGTAGTAAAATCGAAACGATGGACGAGTGAAAATTGTAAATGTTTTATCGCAATATTTGTGATGATTTAAACAACAGATAACGCAATGCATTCATTATTTATTAATGACACATTTGTTTTGCGAAATTAGGTTACGTTATTTTACACACTTGAAATACGTAGCGCTTGCATGTAATATTGTATTTCTGCTACATATTTTTGCGCGCACGATTCAACGTATTTATTAAATATTAACTTAGCTTTATTGGTATCAGGCATATTATGTAGTATCCGAGTGAAGTTGCTAGCGCCACTTCTAAATTTTTCATTATCGAGACAACGTAGGTATAAGACGTATCAACTCCGAGTTGAGTGGCATCGCGATGCGTTTAATTAATAAGTAAAGTTTTAATCCAATCCAGATCTTGATATTTCTCAACCGTATAGCATAAATTTGATGTTTGTACATTATGATTTGTTGAAACTGAATGATTCTCACGTATTGCGCGAGATTTATTCCATCATGCGCAATTAACGAAGCGGTGCTAACCATATTTTCGCATGTTACATTCCGCGGATATTTAACATTAATTTTAACCACTATATTTACTTTTTTATGTTGCCAGAGTTGTTAATATGTTAATACTGTTGATATAAAATGACAATCGTCTTAAAATACGGGCGTATTTAATATTTGTTACTCAATGCTCGGAAAGTGTAGAAAAGTGCAGATGGGAGCAACAGGTATAGCTCCGTCTCGCGGTGGCCGCCGTATGAAGTTAATCGCTCGACTTTTCGGATTCTCTCCAGTCGAGATTCGTCCATTATGCTAATTTGCAACACATTACAGTGTCTGGCGGATTTAGCTTTATAAAATGGTGTAGAATCGCATTTTTTCGCTTAATTCCTCCATCATGATATACTAAACGACGAGAGCGTGGTTAATATCGACGCGAAGTACCGTGTCAAGTATTGCACGAGCGTCGGGTGGTAAGTGTGCGCGTACCTAACCTCTCTTTCGCAAACATAATTTATATTAACTATAATATATTTTTATGTTACAGATTAAGGCGCTACAGCTCAATGTGCTACAATTCCATTATCGCCGTATTTTTTTTCGCGTGAGTTTTCTAACATAAATGATAAAGTCCGTAGTATCGTGTAAAATGTCGCGTAATTGTTACTATGCAAAAAAGTTTGCATTAAAAATGCGTTTAACGTCGGAAGTGTCGGGAGTGTCGTACAGTGTCGCACGATTCGTACGTTATTGTATTTTCGCGAGTGTAGTGTGAGTGCCACGAGAAAAAAACAACGGCGGAAATCAGTGAGGAGGAGGAGGCCCGGGCGGTATCGGACAACGGCGGAACAACTATTAGGTAATTTATTATTTATTTGCCATGTTTTTATTTACTCTTGATAGTCGTTTTTTGCAACAATTCTACTTTATTCAGTGCATACGCAATTCGATACAAGATTCATATATAAAATATATTGCAATATTTTAAAAGAAATGGTTTCGAATATTCCATAAAATATTTATAAATTTAATGATTAAAAATATTAAATATTTTTAATGTGTTTGAGATTTATAACTTTGATGAATCTTTATATAAGAATTAAACTTTTATTAATTAAATTTCATACAAATTTATATGTCAGAAGAAATTTGTTTTTCAGAATTTAAATTTTTAATCAAATTTAATTATTTTAACTAAATGTTTAACTTGAAGATTGAATAAAAAATTGAATGTACACAATTATTTTTTAAATTTATTATTTATTATTATTTTGAAGAACGCTACTGTAATTTTAACATATATTTTTATTTTACAGATCAACGTTGCTACACCTCCGCTGCTGCGCATCATATTGGTGAGTGTTTATTTTTTTCCTTTTTGATTAAAATTTTATAAATTATTTTCACCATAAATAATATATTCAAATTAATGTTAAACAATAAATTATATAGTTGATATATATATAAAATATATAGAATATATATAGTTTATGCAAGGTGAATTATTTTTAATTTTTAAGCAATAAACTTGAAAAATAATATAAAATGAGATGAGAAAAAATTAGATGTGAGACAAAATTTGCAATAGCGACAAATATAGACAGTAAAACATGTGTATTATTAATTCTCGCAAATTATTTGATTCGGATTTATTATTTATTTTTAAAACTATCATATTTAACTTGGAAATATTTGCATCAATTTAATTTGTACGCATAATAGCGGTGTATCGTGAGAAATATTAAAATTGAAGATAAAAAAGGTTGAATATACATAATTGCCTCACTTGTGAGAATAATTCAGAAAAATTTTTAGCGAAAACGAATAAACTAATAATAAGAAACGGAATAATTTATTACTTGCGTTTACAAGTACATTGAAGCATGAACAATTTTACGTCGTAATCAGGCGATACGATTACGGGGAAAAGGGACGTATTTTACTGTACTCTCTCTACAATATTTGCTCCTCGCATATAACTCCGTGCTTCTTCATGTTCTCTCTTACTCTCTTTAAATATATACATATATATTCACTCGTTTTCGTTTACTCTATCTTGCACTTCCTTGAAAATGTCGAGACCACCCAGACGATATTCGTTGGCTTACGCGCCATAATCTTATATTTTCTAGCAATTTAAGATATATTCCAGTGCAATCTCGCCTTTGTTATGGCTGACCTATTTCCTTTTTCTCACATTTGCGCAAACCGCTATTTTCGTGTCACTTACATATAAATTTAAGTTTTAATATAAACTCCAACACACTTGAAATAACTAGACAGCGAAGAAATTAATGTATTAAAATGTTTTACCTGTAAATGTTAAAATAAATTTTTAAAAAATAAAACGCGCGTGAAAAAATAAATATCTTCGGACAAAAATATCTTCTTACGTGAGTGTCCCGTTATCATAATACAATGTTGTGTTTTAACAAGGGAAAAAAGCGTAGGGCGCGTGATACAATTAAACCCGTACTCCCACACGACCGACCCCACGTGGCATTCGATTTTATCTCGTGATTCTCATCAACATTATCCTTATTTTTCTTTTCTTTTTTTTTGCTTGCCGTCTATGACGGATCGCGAAACAATCGCCGGGAAAGGGTCAGCATGAGAAGGATCATTATCCAGAATTGTGCCGAGTAATAAACCGCTGTTGTATCTGCCATCTCGGTCGATTTCTCCCGACTAACCTCCCCTTCGTCCCTTTCTCCCTCTCGATTCTTCGGTACATAATCCGAAAGACTCTCGAGGTTCGCTCGTGCAGGAAATAGCTCGACCTTGACCTTTCACCGCCGTCCCACGATCTCTCGCTTAAGAGTGTCCCGAGGTGGCAGCAGCGCCGGAGAGGGTGGCTCCGACCCCTTTATCGATTCCTCCACGCTCTCTCGAGGACCCCTCAGAAAACTGCGAAAGACTCAGTTTTTAATGGTTTCCGCGCCGAGGACCGAGAGTGTTATGAAACTGTAAACCTCTCGACTAGTCGAAAAAGAGGTAAAAAGACGGCCTGACTAACTAAGATCTGTCCGGTGTTCTTGGAGTTATCCCAAGTGTTATAAAGTAATACGAAGTTGCTTTCATTAGAGATTTGCATCTTCATTTCTCTAACTGAAAAAGTGCACTTTACTAGAAATGGAGAAACGGTGTCTGATTTAAAATTATGGACGTGACTTAAATTTTCAGTTCAAGCAAACAATTCTTCGATTGAAAATGAGGGCAGTCTTTTATTTTCGCGCATTAATTGAAATAAATAAAAGGGAAAAAAAAATTTGTTGAATATATACATATAATAAATAAAATGTAGAAAATAGTTTTATCGGTTCGATTGATTCCAATAAATCACTTTGATATATGAAATTGATAAAGTATGACTTTTCCACGCAACAATTCTTCATTTTTGGTGAAATGCGTTTTACAGATGATGATAGTATGACTTTTGTAAACGATTTGCCTTTTACACAATAGACATGTCCGCCGCATTCAAATGTTGTTGACAGCTTTACACATTCGCTAACGCGTACAGTAAATTTTTACAGAATATATTTCACGTGACTTTACGGTTTCGTAACTCGTAATTTTTATTTTATGGCGCATCCATTTCATGTTAAGAGAGGTATCATTATCATCTAGGGATCAAAGTGTCATTCAACGTAATGCGTTTCATTCAGGTTAGAGGTCCCAAAGCTTATGAATGCATGCATGAAAAATGTATTACCGACAAGAAAATTTTGATTCGTCATTAGCTTCATTATTATTATCATTATTATTATTTGCAAGATTTGGCATCAGAAAAAGATAAAATTTTCCAGATGAAAATAATATTATACAAAGTTGTACACAAGTTGCATAAGTAATGAAATAATTATAAATTTATGATAGAGCAAGTTGTATTGCACGTGTGGTTTTAATGAGGAAGTATGAGGAATTAATTACTAATAATTCATACGAGGAAAAATAATTATGATGATTTTCTTCACTACTTTGCTCGTTTATTATTTTTTTTTTTTTTAGCTACGGTTATTGCAAATTTTTCCGCGATTCGAGAAATCATAGCTACGATGTCCTTGACTCTCGATAATAAGGTAATTCACGGTATGCTCGTAATATTTTATCTCCGCGTGTCTAAAAATAACCGACATGGTAACTCAATCGCGAGTACGAAAATTTAATTCGACGCGCTTGAAATATATCGTCGGCATCGGCTTTTCAATATTTTATCAGTTTCAACGGCGTGCGACGCTCGTTGAACAATCACCACTTAATTTGCACACAGGAACTATGCGGTGCATCCGTTATGCGCATAACTAAACCGTTCGCACTTGCACCTGGTGACGATGCGGGCCGAAGTGCTATCTCGGAAAGTTTGCCAATTAATCCGCGCAGCCCGCTCAAACGCAGTAATGCAGTACGAAATCGCCAATAACATTATCCTTGCATAAATGCGATGTCCGACAAGCACATTTGCGACTTTGGCACGCGCATATATTTCTACTAGATACTATTTATTATTAATAATGCGTTCGATTTTCGTCAGAAAAGGTCAAATTTCTACAATCTTAACTCTAAATATCTAATCAGATGGAATTCTCGATGAAATATATGTATATCGAAAATTTAGATAAAATATCTCTTTTACGTTTTTATTTATTTTTTAATACTCGCGTGTGCCGTGACATTAAAATTCATTATTAGAAGAATTATGCATTGTTTGTCGCGAGAAATGGAGCCGATTACGCGAGGCATGAATACTAATATTGTCAGACGTGATTATAGTCGCGCGCGGACGGTTTATTACAAAGATCTCTTTGAAAAAAAGTACCCGGAGAAAGAGCGAATCGTTGACGGAAAAGGAGGCCTGATGGCGGAACCGCGAACACGGCCATCACGGTAATGGGCCTCAACGCTGTTATAATAATCGTAAATGCATAAGTACGCCACGTTGCCGCCGCTGTTGTCGAGTTTCTTTATGGTAATACGACTATTGTTGAGAAGATTGTCATCTTGGCCCATGACTTCCTCATTGAGAAGCTGTTCACGTCCGACAGTGAATCTTCGGCGTACCCACAACCGTAAATAAGCGTTATACGTCCAGCGACGGCGCGACAATGTAGCACATTTTGTTAAAAGAAATGTTTTCCGTACAGCATCTTTCGATAATTGAAATGCGCGCAAATATATAATTTTCGCAGTATCGAGAAACTTCGGGACGCCTCTGCTGCGTGAAACGATTGAAAAAAAAAAATGGGTCAACATTTTTTTTACAAATTCTCTTATTTTCTTTGTTACTGAATTTATCTCCAAACTTATAGTTACATGTCAGAAAATATTTTGTGTGTAAATATCGACCAAATATTTTTCTCATTTTTCGCGATATTTGTAACAGAATGGAGAAAGCTGCTAAAATCAACATTCACGGCCTTCCCTAATGCCCGGCGTCGCTTTCACCACACCCTCCTCTCGTATATTTCTCCCCGATATTTTCTCTCTCAGAGTTATATACCCATCGATGACCCAATTCGCGTCGGCGTAGGCAGGCCGCTACACCGCATATCGCATAACTATCGCCTGCGGCGATGCGATCCGAGCAGGACGACCATGCCATCTTTCCACGGGGGCGTTTCCTACCTTTCCAGCGAGTGAAGGGAGAAAAGGTTTCTCGCTAGGGTCGTATCCCGGATCGGAAGAGAGAGAGAGAGAGAGAGAGAGAGAGAGATAGAGAGTAGGACGGGTTTGTATTAAAGGTAATCCCTTTTGTGGAGAAGATAGAACGAAACGGCTCCTCACGGATTAATATCCAAGAACGTATTTATAAGCGACCGCATCGCGCCGTGAGTCCTCCTGAAAGGGGCAGGGAAGCTGCGGATATTAAGCTCTTGTTACAGAAGTTCTTTCTCATATCTGCTACGTTTCGTTCAGATTACTGGCAGTGGCTAGGGAAAGAAGGTAGGGGAATGTTACGCGAGACTGAAGGAGCAATCCGGAATGCTATGGAATTCCTAACATTATAGAAATGAAATCGCGACAATACGAATTCTGTTAAATTCCATTGTTTCGTTCCTTCACAGCGAATCACTGGTTTTCAGTCTCTCTCTCCTTGGCCTTTTATATCAAAGAAACTGAGCGAAACAATATTGCCACTTTTGGCCCAAATATGTAAAAATATATGATGTAAAAACGATTAGGACTTAATGTTACATTTACCTTGACGCGAAATATCTCAGCGCCCTTCGTTTTAATCGATTTTTCTCTACGATTCTATTGTCGTAGGATATTAAATCTATTAAAAGTGTTTTCTCGCCATCTGTTACGGAACGTGATTTTGAAATAAGCTCACCGGATTGCGCGTCGGTCGCAT